ATATTCTAGACAGATTCCTAGTGTACAAACTAGCGTGAACATTTAAACATGAAAACTTTTAACGAAATTGGGATCTTTAACTTTAAGAAAAAATACCTAACTTAAAAACAATGGTATTTTTTTCCCTTTTACAACATTTTAATCACATCACAAAACAACCACTAACAGGTCCTGATCATCATTATAAAGGGACACGTTTAAATTAAACAAACCTAACGCAACAATGTTGTAACATTAGTAGCATCATTCACTGACAACAAATTCAACATTGTTTGTGAAGATAGATCACTGTAGTCTGAAATAACACCGGTAAATGTGAGATTCCAACCTACTGTTTTGTCACAGTTTAGGGCAGACAGTCAGGAACGTGTAGACTTTCTAATCTGTAGGACATCAGAGGGTTGTTTTAACGTCACTCAGCTAGCAGAGATAGCTACAAACACTTCCACCACCTGCGTTTGCGATTGTGTGATTACAATAGGCTGAGTGGTGACTGCCCTCTAGTGGAGGAACAACATAACACACTCTTTGGCTCAGTTTAAGCCCAGTTCTGATTTCCCCCCACTAATTGGCCTTTTGACTAATCACATCAGCTCTTTTGCAATTAATTGGGCAAAAGATCAGATTAGGGCTGCCTGTGTAAACGCAGCTTTCCATCTTTGACATGAATAGTCAAATTTACTAAAGTTTGTACCATTTTCTTCAATAGGGAATATATGCTCAAAAACAAAGCTAAAACATGAAATGGTCATCGTTACACTTTACCTAAATTGATTTTTTACTTACTATCACTTTTATTTGACCTTTTCATTCAATCTTCTATGTTGAATTCCCTCTGAAAAATCTTCCGGGGCTAACTTAGTAAATCTGCTTTTACACAGGCAGCCCAATTCAGATCTTTTGCCAATTATTTGCATATCAAATCAAATTTTATTGGTCACATACATGTGTTTAGCAGATGTTATTGCGGGTGTAGCGAAATGATTGTAAAGAAATGCTTGTAAAATAAAGTGGGTACAGTGATAACTAACTGATATTTTCCCTAATGTGTAAACAGCACAAAACCACATGGAATCTGATCTTTTAACTTTTGATTTATACCACATCCATATGTGGATCTCAATGCTGATACAAACCAGATCCTCCATAAGTGACCTGTCTGGACAATCAGATCGGATGTTTTCTTTTACACGTCGTCGCCTGCCGTTACCATGACAACCACTCCAAACTGTTAAGGAAGAGTGACAGGAAATGAGCATACATGCAGTAAAAAGGTCAACATGACGCAAAACGTTGGAGAAAGCCAGGGAAGAAAAACTGCCCACTCTTGTTGACGCCACGGAAAAATCAAGGCCGACTGCAATACTGCAGGCATTGTTAGCAGAAAACTGGATCCCCATTATGGCGAATGAAAAATGGCAATCTTTGTGGTCAATCTTCGTGTAATAAAACAATGTTTTGAAAACAAAATGGTACCAATAATTTCTTCTAATACACCAGATGTATGTCCTTGGACCGATTATTTTAAAATCCCACGCAAAAGAAGTTAAGGATAATTGAGTTGCTAATGGAAGCCTGCAGTACCCCGGTCGGCCTTAATTTGAGTTACTCAATGAGAGGGGGCAGCACTGAGCTTGCCTGCAATGTCACTTCCTGGAGTAGCTCAAACTGCTCATGTTATGTCTTCATGAGACGCCATCTTAACCGACTTAATTTGGCTTCAATGGCTATTAAGTCTTCACAAAAGGAATGAATGTTTTGTCCATTCATATATACACTAATTGGGGAATGTGCAAGGACGCCATCATTGGCAAATCTGATCTAACAAAGTGGATATTCGTCAAATTCTAACAGGCTCACAATGTGGTTACTAACACCATATTGGATATATTTGGCTGGCTGTTTTCACGGCATAATATTTAGAAGTTGTTATTTTTAGGGTTTAGAAAAAAGTTATTCTAAATGCAAACTAAATGCCTAAATGACTACCGACCCGTAGCACTGACGTCTGTAGCCATGAAGTGCTTTGAAAGACTGGTCATGGCTCACATCAACAGCATAATCCCAGAAACCCTAGACCCACTCCAATTTGCATACCGCCCCAACAGATCCACAGATGATGCAATCTCTATCGCACTCCACACTGCCCTTTCCCACCTGGACAAGAGGAACACCTACGTGAGAATGCTATTCATTGACTACAGCTCAGCATTCAACACCATAGTGCCCTCTAAGCTCATCACTAAGCTAAGGATCCTGGGACTAAACACCTCCCTCTGCAACTGGATCCTGGACTTCCTGACGGGCCGCCCCCAGGTGGTAAGGGTAGGTAACAACACATCTGCCACACTGATCCTCAACACGGGGGCCCCTCAGGGGTGCGTGCTCAGTCCCCTCCTGTACTCTCTGTTCACCCATGACTGCATGGCCAGGCACGACTCCAACACCATCATTAAGTTTGCCGACGACACAACAGTGGTAGGCCTGATCACCGACAACGATGAGACAGCCTATAGGGAGGAGGTCAGAGATCTGGCCGTGTGGTGCCAGGAGAACAACCTCTCCCTCAACGTGACCAAGACAAAGGAGATGATTGTGGACTACAGGAAAAAAAAGAGGACTGAGCACGCCCCCATTCTCATCGACGGGGCTGTAGTGGAACAGGTTGAGAGCTTCAAGTTCCTTGGTGTCCACATCACCAACGAACTATCATGGTCCAAACACACCAAGACAGTCGTGAAGAGGGCACGACAAAGCCTATTCCCCCTCAGGAGACTAAAAAGATTTGGCATGGGTCCTCAGATCCTCAAAAAATTCTACAGCTGCACCATCGAGAGCATCCTGACTGGTTGCATCACCGCCTGGTATGGCAACTGCTTGGCCTCTGACCGCAAGGCACTACAGAGGGTAGTGCGTACGGCCCAGTACATCACTGGGGCAAAGCTTCCTGCCATCCAGGACCTCTATACCAGGCGGTGTCAGAGGAAGGCCCTCAAAATTGTCAAAGACTCCAGCCACCCTAGTCATAGACTGTTCTCTCTGCTACCGCACGGCAAGCGGTACCGGAGTGCCAAGTCTAGGTCCAAAAGACTTCTCAACAGCTTCTACCCCCAAGCCATAAGACTCCTGAACAGCTAATCATGGCTACCCGGACTATTTGCACTGCCCCCCCACCCCATCCTTTTTACGCTGCTGCTACTCTGTTAAGTATTTATGCATAGTCACTTTAACTCTACCCACATGTACATATTACCTCAACTACCTCAACTAGCCGGTGCCCCCGCACATTGACTCTGCAACGGTACCCCCCTGTATATATAGCCTCCCTACTGTCACTTTATTTTACTTCTGCTCTTTTTTTCTCAACACTTTTTTTGTTGTTGTTTTATTCTTACTTTTTTGTTTAAAATAAATGCACTGTTGGTTAAGGGCTGTAAGTAAGCATTTCACTGTAAAGTCTGCACCTGTTGTATTCGGCGCATGTGACCAATAAAATTTGATTTGATTTGATTTGATTTGAAACTCTTGTTTGTATGAGCTGGTAGCATAGCTAGACATATAGAAATCGGTGGTTGTAGTTGAAGTCCTTTTTTAAGTGTGATGCAGTTGATTGTTGATGATGACATGAACATGTGTTGTGGTTGACATCCATACAAGCATTATACTCAAGATTTATACCCCAACGTGTGAAATACACATACAGACAATAGCCTAAAGGTAGGGTAAATTTGATGGGCGGCAATGAGGAGATTCTGAATCTTCCCCCCAGGAGGAGGTCATGTGCATGGCGTTTCCATGGCGTTTCCATTGTTTTGGTCGAGTTCCATTGATCTCTTTATCGCATCTATGCATCTGTCTGGTACTTCAGAGGCTACATCAGTGTGAATGTGGAAAGCTGATATGGGTCACATGTAAAACTGAGTGTGGACAGTCAGAAAAAAAATATTGGATATAGAAAGAAAATCAGATTTGGGTTTTTAGGGTGGCTGTGTAAACATAGCCTAAGTGCCTTACTTATCCATCATAAACTGGATTGGTAAGATCTGAATCAAGCCTGTTGAATTAATAGAAGTAAATCAAAACTAGAGTTGAAACATGAAACAAGGGGAATGTTGACTTTAGGCAGGGGAAAGTTACAAGTCGTTGAACTCAAATAAGAGTCGGAAGGACCATGTTTAAGATAATGTCAGTAAAAAGTGGTATTGTATCACCAGTTTGGTTATGAGAAGGGAGGATAGACAGAAGGAAGACGCAACAAAAGGCAACCCTCTGTTACGCGATAGATCGCTAGACACAACTAGGTTTAATAAGAAGGTCAATGGCCAGATTATGGTGGGAAGGTACTAGCCATTTTTCAAAGTACAGTAGAACACTTGTGGATGCGTCCTAAATAGCACCCTATTCCCTATATAGTGTACTACTTTTGACCAGGTGCCATTTGGGATGCAACCGGTGTCTTCCATGGTGGGTTGTCGGAGGGTAGGGTGAACAGAGCTGCAGTAACACTGGTGGTTGAACATAGCTCACGCCATGGCAGGAGCATCCACCATAGTAGTTTTGGGGCTTTTGTTCCTCACGGAATGCCACTCGGTAAGCGTTATTTAGATTTTGATTGGCTTTGGTTCATATTGTGCATAATTGTACTTCCGTAACACCCACACAAGTTGTGATGATGACATCTTATGTGCCATTTTAGTGTATTTTACGTGCACGTGTGTGTGTTTTTGTGTGCATGCATCATCTGTCTCTGAATCCAAATATAATTTAGTTAATATCAGATTATATCATAACAGGTTTCTTTATTCATTTTTTTGTTTTAATGTACTGAGATTGACATTTGTAGGGTATCACATAAAATTAACAAACTGTTCCTTTATCTTATCTTGAAAACTGTGATAGAACGGATAATTTTGACTTTAAAAAACGGTTTTGTTAAATGAGTTGTACAGCCTGAGAGAGTGAACAGGGTCCCCCTCACCCCTGTCCGTCCTGTCCACTAGGCCCCAATGCCGTGTGGGGAGATGGTGGGGCGTCTGCAGGCTGAGATGGAGGACCTGGTGAGGGTGATCAATGACCAGCACCGCTACATCCAGGGGCTTCACCACAGCCAGGCCCAGAAGCTGCCTCAGATCCCCCAGACACACCTCCAGACCGGGGACCAGTACAAAGGTCAGGCAGTGGATAGAACCACAGAGGTCCTGTTATTATTTATGTGTCATTCTATGCGTAGAACATAGAATGGGTAGGATTAATGGGCATTCCACACAGAGAAAAGTTGGTTTTTATTACATTTTTTACTGAATTTATCATCCGTTTTTTTGTGTGATTCATGTTTGATTAGCTGTTAATTGTGATCTATTCAATTTCGTTTTTAAAACAGACTAAAATAGTCCAAAATAATGCACTGTATAAGGAATGGATCGAGTGCCATTTGGTGTGCATGCCCTGTAACCATGTCCTCTGTGTGTGTAGACTGCGCTGAGATCTTTAAGGATGGGAACTCAGTTAGTGGCCTGTATATGATCAGACCGGACCGGTCTCCCTCCTCCTTCATGGTGTTCTGTGACATGAGTGACGGAGGAGGCTGGACTGTCTTCCAGAGGAGAAAGGACGGAACCGAGTCCTTCGACAGGTAGGTGAAAATAAAACACCACTATCTACTTAGAGGGTGATTGATAACTTTTTCAAATGAATACATTCTATTTTAGTTACAGTGCACTGCAGTTATACTGCAATATAATTACTGTTAATTTTTGTACGGGCAATTGTAGGAATAAACAAATACTAATAATTTTTGATGTATTTTACATTAGATAGCCTAATTAACACCTTTAGGTTTGCAACAAATTGTCATGGTATGCTTTCTCAGAGCTCCAGCACAGATCATGTATTGGGCGATTCCACGCCAGCGGGAGCAGAAAATATTTTTGGAATCTCCGTTTGTTCTGGCAATTCTCACATAGAAACTTCATTGGGAGGAATGATGTTTAACATGCTTTTTACATTTGTATCACAAAACATTTCTTAGAAAATGGTGATGAAAGTGGCCACTTTAGGCCCTTTTTAGACCTATACAAGCCTCCTGTAAGACCATATGATCTGTGAACCGTACATGACAGACAACATCTTGATGTCTTTATACTCCATAGTGTTCTCTAGCTTATGGAATATGTCTCCACTCTGAAATACAAATGTTCACATTCATTTATTCAACATAAAAACATATATATATATATATATATATATATATGAATATCTCAAAAACAACCCTTTTTGATTTTGTTAATTTTAAGACATTGTTTGGAACACTATACTCTACAAGTACATCATATTTCCAGAGTGGGCTCTCTGGTACTTTTAATGATATAACTCAAACATCCTTCCTCCCGATGCCATTTTTGTGAGATTTGCCAAAACAATCAGAGATACCAAAACTATTTTCTGCTCCTGCTGGCGTGGAATCACCCTATCGTCAGTGTGTTTGTCTCCCTCCCTCTACAGAGCGTGGGTGGAGTATAAGCATGGCTTTGGAGACAACCAGTCAGACGGAGAGTTCTGGCTAGGGAACGACCCCCTACACTACCTCACCTCTCAAGGTATAGAGGAAAACCTACAGCTAGGGACAAGAGCTTTTCCCAACCACTTGATCTGACCACGAAAAACTCCCGGCCCCTAGTAACAGGCTATAATAGTAATATGACCCAGAGTTCTTCCTGATCTTAGTCAGGTTATAAATAGGGCCCAGAGTTTTCCTAATCAGGTAACAACACTTGGCCAGGAAAAACAGGCATCTGGCCAAATTCACACGGAATGTACCTAATAATGATAATGAATTGCTTTTACATTACATAGAGCTTTTAACTACCGTAGATCTGAAAAAGCCCTATTCAGACTTGAGATAAGTTGACTTAAAATGGACTCAAGTCCAGAAATGTTCACTTAAATCCATCTTTTACTGCCTTAAATCCATGTTACGTTTACTTATCTCAAGTCTGATTAGGGCCCCGAGTGCTTTACATTGTACGAGGCCAAAGCAACTCAACTCATCCACCACCACTACTGTCTCACCCACCTTGGTGACAAACGGTGGCCATTTTGTATCTTTATTACCTGCAATTGACTCTGTTTTCTAGGCGACTACGACCTAAAGATCAACATGGAGGACTTTGACGGAAAACAGCGCTTCGCCAAGTACAAAAACATGAAAGTGGATGGTGAAAAGGTACACGTGAACACAACACCACGGTCTTTACTGCAGACATTCCTCACATGAAACAGACACGGTTTCCCATAACATTGGGTGTCAGTATTTTGTCTACTGGTGTTCAGATTATACAAAAGGCAGTGGAAATATTGATAGAATTGAAAGAACAAGGACGTCTGTAGTATCTTTCTTTCCTTTCTTTCTTTCTTTCTTTCTTAACCCAACACCAACCCTTCCCTTTCTTTGTTGACATTAGTCCTTGCTCGCAAAAACCGAACCAATCTACCGTTTATACTCTATAAACTGGGGATTACCAAGACCCATACTCAGAGTATGTTCTGACCAGCTGGCAAGTGTCTTCACTGACATTTTCAACCTCTCCCTGACCCAGTCTGTAATACCTTTTATGTGTCAAGTTGACCACCATAGTCCCTGTGCCCAGGAACGTCAAGGTCACCTGTCTAAATGACTAGCGCCCCGTAGCACTCACATCTGTAGCCATGAAATGCTTTGAAAGGTTGGCCATGGCTCACATCAACGCTATCATACCGGACATCCTGGACCCACTCCAATTCGCATACCGCCCCAACAGATCCACAGATGACTCAATCTCTATTGCACTCCACACTGCACTCTCCCACCTGGAAAAGAGGAAAGTTGTTCATTGACTACAGCTCAGTGTTCAACACCATAGTGCCCTCATTACTAAACTCAGGACCCTGGGACTGAACACCTCCCTCTGCAACTGGATCATGAACTTCCTGATGGGCCGCCCTCAGGTGTTGAGGGTAGGCAACAACACATCCACCACACTGACCCTCAACATGGGGTCCCTCAGGGGTGCATGCTTAGTCCCATCCTGTACTCCCTGTTCACCCACGACTGCGTGGCCGCGCACGACTCCAATGCCATCATTAAGTTCGCTGACGGCACGACGGTGGTAGGCCTGATCACCAACGACGATGAGACAGCCCATAGCAGGGCTCTCCCACCCGGTTCCTGGAGAAGTAACTTCCTGAATGTTTTCACTCCAACCCCAGTTGTAACTCACCTGATTCAGCTGATTATTAGAATCAGGTGTGCTAGATTAGGGTTGGAGTGAAAACCTATAGGTAGCTCTCCAGGAACAAGGTTGGAGAGCTCTGGCCTATAGGGAGGGAGGTCAGTGACCTGGCTGTGTAGTGCCAGGACAACAACCTTTCCCTCAATGTCAGCAAGACAAGAAGCTGATGGCGGACTACAGGAAACGGCGGGCCGAGCACGCCCCCATCCACATTGACAGGGCTGTAGTGGGGCGGGTCAAGAGCTTCCAGTTCCTCTGTGTCCACATCACTAAGGAATTAACATGTTCCATACACACCAACACAGTCGTGAAGAGGGCATGTCAATGCCTCTTCTACCTCAGGAGGCTGAAAAGATTTGTCATGGGCCGAGCTCCCTGCCATCCATGACCTCTGTACTGCTAAATAGTTCACCAAATAGCTACCCAGACTATCTGCATTGACCCTTTTTGCACTAACTCTTTTGACTCATCACATACGCTGCTGCTACTGCTTATTATCTATCCTGTTGCCTAGTTACTTTACCCCTACCCATATGTACATATCTACCTCAATTACCTCATACCCTTACACAGACTCGGTACTGGTACCCCGTGTATATAGCCAAGCTATCGTTACTCAGTGTGGATTTATTACTGGTTATTATCTTTCTATAATTTTTCGAGTTTTCTCTCTGCGTTGTTGAAAAGGACCCGTGAGGAAGCATTCCACTGTTAGTCTCCACCTGTTGTTTTTATGAAGCATGTGACAAATACAATTTGATTTGAATGTCCTTGAGCAAAGGTACTGGGGCAAACCAGCAATCCTCTTCATTCACTTTCTCATATTAGCCCATCGTGGAACAAGATCAATATTTGTAGTCCGCAGTATTCAGAATGATACATCTCAGCAGTGCTCTGTTTAGGAGATCATTGAGCGTGTTACAGTATAAGCATATTACATACCTAGGTCTGTCACTCCTGGTCTTCAGCCTGTTACCTAAAGCTGTGGTACTTTTTACAGTAGGCGTGGGGGAAGTCTGGCCCATGACTTCTGCAGAGTGTGCACACCAATGTAGCAGGCATTTGTTTGCGGTCTAAACTGAAGACCACAATTAGTTGATTATTTGAAATCAGGTGTTAGGTTAAAGGAGATCGTTCAGTGATTTTACGTAGTTAAATATTCAAAATCGCTGAATTATTTCGTCCTAAAATACTAAAGAAATTACTCCCTAAAATACTCCCTAAATTACTCCTCTTCCCCCTCCAGGACCAGTATCAGCTTCATCTGGGTGATTACACTGGCAATGCGGGGGACGCCCTCCCCGAAGCCCACCCCCCTCGCAGTGGACAGTGGAACAGTCTAGGGGCCGGTCACCTGGGAGTCAAGTTTAGTACCTACGACCATCCCAACAAGGAGGACGATGAGAAGTGTATCCGCCATGACAAGTCAGGCTGGTGGTTCAGCAAGTATGGCCTTCTGCATTACTGTGGAGATTCAGTAACCTCTCAACAACATTAGAGTATTGGCCTTCTGCATTACTGTGGAGATTCAGTAACCTCTCAACCACATTAGAGTATTGGCCTTCTGCATACTGTGGAGATTCGTACCTCTCAACAACATTAAGTATTGGCCTTCTGCATTACTTGAGATTCATACCCTCTCAACAACATTAGAGTATTGGCCTTCTGCATTACTGTGGAGAGTCAGTACCCTCACAACATTAGAGTATGGGCCTTCTCATTACTGTGAGAGTCAGTACCTCTCAACACATTAGAGTATTGCCTTCTGCATCTGTGGATCAGTAACCTCAACAACATTAGAGTATTGGCCTTCTGCATTACGTGGAGAGTCAGTAACCTCTCAACAACATTGAGTATTGGCCTTCTGCATTACGTGGAGAGTCAGTACCTCTCACAACATTAGTATGGCCTTCTGCATTACTGTGGAGAGTCAGTAACCTCTCAACAACATTAGAGTATTGGCCTTCTGCATTACTGTGGAGATTCAGTAACCTCTCAACAACATTAGAGTATTGGCCTTCTGCATTACTGTGGAGATTCAGTAACCTCTCAACAACATTAGAGTATTGGCCTTCTGCATTACTGTGGAGATCAGTAACCTCTCAACAACATTAGAGTATTGGCCTTCTGCATTACTGTGGAGATTCAGTAACCTCTCAACAACATTAGAGTATTGGCCTTCTGCATTACTGTGGAGATTCAGTAACCTCTCAACAACATTAGAGTATTGGCCTTCTGCATTACTGTGGAGATTCAGTAACCTCTCAACAACATTAGAGTATTGGCCTTCTGCATTACTGTGGAGATTCAGTAACCTCTCAACAGAATATTGGCGCAAACATTTATTTTCTACATACACTCCCGACTCCTCTACGTATTTATTTGGACAGAAAAGCTAAAACTTTTAATTTGGCTCTATACTCCAGCATTTTGAGATAAAATGTTTTGTATGAGACATGCCACCTTTTATTTGATGGTATTTTCATACGTATCCGTTTTACCATTTAGAAATGAATGTAGCCCCATTTGAAGGTGTCATAAGTATTTATTCAATTTAGTCAAGTTTAGTATTTGGTCCCATATTCCTAGCATGTAATGACTACATCAAGCTTGTGATGCTCCACATTTGCAGTTTGTTTTGGTTGTGTTTCGCATTATGTTGTGCCCAATAGAAATTCATGGTTTTACGGATAATCGTGAATAATGACGAGTGAGAAAGTTACAGATGCACAAAGATCATGCCCCCAAAACATGCTAGTCTCTCACCATTCCAATAACAGGGGAAGTTAGCAATTTTTGGGGGGTATGCTATTTATGCCTCTAACTTTCTTATTCATCCTTATTCACGATTCATTCAGGACTATCCGTAGTCATGGTAGCATCCACATGAATGTAGAAGTGTTCAGAAACATATTCTATTCTTATTTATAGTAAAAGTGACTCCAAAATGACACAATACATTATTTACCATTCATTTCTATTGGGCACAACATAATCTGAAACACAACCAAAACAAATCAACCAATGGTTGGTGCCACTTCATCGATTGTGTTATCGACTGATAGATTGCTATAACATATGATATGTTTAGCTGATAGGCAAAATACCTATCCAGGACTTGTAAGATCTGGCAACGTCCAAGCAGTGGAACGCGACCTATTACTATGAATCTCAGATGTTGGCGTCATTCTGCATCTCTCCACCAGGTGTGAGTCTGGCAACTTGAACGGTCACTACTACAACGGGCCGTACCAAGCGGTGATGGACGACGGGGTTGTCTGGTACACCTGGCACGGCTGGTGGTATTCAATCAAATCCGTAGTCATGATGATCCGGGCCTCCGACGTCCATCCAGCTGGATCTGATGTCCAACTGACCAGAACGCCAGATGACGTCGATCCTTTTAGAGTTTTGCCTCAATTAGGATAGGCTGAAGGTGGTGTTACATCATAGAGAACATCCAATCATAACCATCTTGATGCTCATTCTCATTTGTCAAGCCAGTGAGATTTAAAGAGATTTTCTGGTAATTTTATATTTTTTTAGCCAGTAGTTCTGAAAGTAGCACTCACGAGCCAAAAGTGGTCCCCGAACATTGCGTACTACGTCACATATGTAAAGATATGTGTACCACGTCATTGCTCTCTCTCTCTCTGCGGTGTCCACTAAGCTGTTGGGCCTGCCCTACAACCTCATTGGATAATGCTGGGCAGGCTTCTTGCTAGCTGTCACTCAAATGCGAGGGGCTGAAGCTCATTGGCTAGAACTCAAATTGCTAGGGGGCTTACACATTTGGGGGGGAAATGTAGGGAAAATGACACACCACAGCTTGAAAAGAACAGTCGCTTTCAAACTAGGGATTTCAAGGCTAATTGAGGTAAAACAGTAATTCTGCTCATAGGTTATTAAGGGATTACATTTATTTTCATCGTCAATTGCACACCAAAAATGTATTTCAGCTTTTAACCCAACCCCTTTGAATCGGAGAGGTGTGGGGAGCTGTTGTTGTGGGGGGGTTCACTGCCTTGCTCAACAACAGATTTTTCACCTTGTCAGCTCAGGGATTCGAACTGGCAACCTTTTGGTAACTGGCCCAACGCTCTAACTCGCTAGGTCACCTGCCGCTAGGCCATATACATGTATGAACTACACATCCAGCCCAAAGCAGGAGGTTTAAAACATACTTTCTTAGATGCCAACGTACCGTCTTTAACTTCTGTTAAAAATAACATAGTGAATGTGACTGTTGGGTGATTTTACCATGTTTTTATTTTATAAATAATGGTACAATGTGTGTGCAATTTTGTCCTTTCAACTCGAATAATCCGAATGTGACTAAATTTGAATAAAATGTTAACTATGATCAACTCTCACTTTAACAGAAATATTGTCTATATTTCCCTCCCCAGAGTTTTCTCTGGCACCCAGAATGGGCACGTTCCAGGTCATTCCCTCTGCCACCCAGACTGGGCACGTTCCAGGTCATTCCATCTGGCACCCAGACTGGGCACGTTCCAGGTCATTCCCTCTGGCACCCAGAATGGGCACTTTCAAGGTCGTTCTTTCTGGCACCCAGAATGGGCACTTTCAAGGTCGTTCTTTCTGGCACCGAGAATGGGCACTTTCAAGGTCGTTCTTTCTGGCACCAAGAATGGGCACTTTCAAGGTCGTTCTTTCTGGCACCCAGAATGGGCACTTTCAAGGTCGTTCTTTCTGGCACCCAGACTGGGCACTTTCAAGGTCGTTCTTTCTGCCACCCAGACTGGGCATGTTCCAGGTCCTTCTTTCTGCCACCCAGACTGGGCACGTTCCAGGTAGTTCTTTCTGGCACCCAGAATGGGCACGTTCCAGGTCGTTCTCTCTGGCCACATTCCAATCCAACATTCCCATCTCAAAAAGAGACTGCTCTATCATATAAAGGGCTTCCTCAGACAAACAGTTCTCCAGACATTGTGAGATCTGATCTGCTACACATATTGACTGTACTAAAGACAACCTAGAATGCGCCCACTTTTCTTAGTGTTTTAAGCCAACCCTTAAAACATTCACTAGTTTCTACCTGTTACTACTGCAGCCAGAGATGATAACATACACTAGAAGTGATTGAACAGTGTGTCAAACAAAGCAGTATTACATTACAGAGAGACAGACAGAGCACCAAAACCAGTGAAAAGATCATTGAGAGTGTATTATTTCCATGTTTAAGCACAGTAGAGTAGTCGTAGAGGAGATTTGAGGCCAATGTTAAATGATCTGTGCCCTCCAGGGTGGAGTCCTTTCTCTGGGTACTACTGCACAACAACAAGAGCGAGCACACACACGCACACACACACACACACACACACACACACTATGAGGAGACACAGCTTCGGCATAGCGGACAATCATTTTAACAGGTAAAATACTTTAGTGTGTATAACCAATCTCTTCCCATGTATCACATCTTACAACAGCTATATGACTAATAATATCCACTATTTATCGACGGATAACAAAGATAACATTGAGCTTGATTTTTATCATTTGTTTATTTACGTTTTAAAATGAAACAAAAGGATGGTAAGTTTGAGGCATTCTTGGAGAAGTGGAGAGGTTTGAGATAACATTGGCTCAACACAAAGTTATGGAGTTTTGGATTGGGAACATTCTGAGCGATAAAGCACAGATGGGCAAATACATTCCACAGTTTTATTAAGGTAGAGAGATGAAGGGTTGGGATTAAAGTCAACTATCCGTGTCCAGATATGGACTGTTTATACAAGGGGTCAAAAGCAAGTGCTCGTTGGATAAAGCTCTGCTCTTCAATAAGTCACCCTCAGTCCTCAAAAACGCTCTATACCAAAGATGGCGGATAAATGAAGATGTCCCACTCAGGCCATTTACCATAGATTTATTTATTTATTGACTGTATATGAACCAGAAAAAAGGGAATGTGATGTCTCGCTTCCACTTCCGTCTCTGGCCTATACCATTTTAACATTTTCAAAACTACATCCAAGGTTTTTCGCATAAACTTTATTAGGGGAGCGGGGAACACGATGCACAAAAAAAAAGGACAATCAATACGAGGTGAGATGCTATGTACAAACCCTGAGGTTTAAGTTGCCTGTTCCTTCTCTCCGCTGAGGGGGGGAAAAGAGTGAGAGAAATCAGGCGAAAAAGAACGAGGGCAGAATTGTCCCGCGCTTTAAGTGCATCTGTGCAACACTGTCTTCTCTTTTTGGGAGCAAAGAAAACGTCTGTACAAGTCATTGTCGGCAGAAGCCAAAACTGCAGCGTCATCATATGAAGTAGTCCATCCGTATTCGGAATAGCTTTGTCTCCTTGAGAGGCTGGGGTTGGTGATCTGGGGGGTAGGAGGTAAGGGAGTGTAGAGGGGTGTTGTCTTTAGACACAAACACACTCTCTCCCCACACACACACACACACACACACACGCACTCTCTCCGCACACATACACACTTTCCCACCCTCCCTCCCAACACACACACACTGTCTCTCTCTCCCGGGTTTGGGTTATCTGGTGGGCGAGAGTGGGGCTGCGGCGGTGGGGAAGGAGGCGGAGTTACGGGGCGAGTGGAAGGGCGAGGAGGGCGAGAGGCGGCGGGGGCTGGCCAGGTCACCGTTGTGCAGCTTCCACAGCAGCTCCTCATTCTCCATGGAGAGACGCTTGTTGACCTTGGACTCCTTCTGCAGGGTCTGCTGCAGCATGGCCTGCTCACTGGACAACTGCCTGCAGGAGACCCAGAGAGGAGAGAGGGGTCAGAGAGAGGAAGAAACACACACACACACACACACACACACACACACACACACACACACACACACACACACACACACACAGAGTGAAGGTGGTTCACCAAACATCCTCTATTAGACCAACACCGATAAACACACACAGAGGAACACACACATTCTTAGAACCACATTCTGTATGATAGAAACCCTGCTGGAAGGACAGATTGTGAAGATGAGGATTCTGGAGAAAGATGAGTCACACTCACTCTCTCTCACACACACACACACACACACACACACACACACACACATACACATACACACACACACACACACACACTCCTCTGTGCAGTACGTACCTGGAGAGTGCGGTGTGTTTGTCCATGCGGGCCCTGTAATCTTCATTCTCCTGCTGGACTTTGTTCAGACGCTCCTCCAGCTTCACGTTGCTCTCCATCTGGCGCCAGACAGACAACACAAAGACAACGTCACATCCTGTACTGCATATTCATACCTACTACTGAAATATGTGTATTTATAAACGGTAATAAGGTATTGAAAAGCAAAAGAAAAACTTTATAACCACAAATCCACAAATGGGTGCTAAGTGGCATAAATAAATCCAGGTACTCGTGTGGGTTTGAAAGTTTAAAAAGCCTTTGATGTGTGGGATAAGGCATTATTGAAATACACCAACGCGTATTGGCTCATGCCTTCATTAGGGTGTCTATAATAATGTATATTGGAATATCCTTTACAATCCTGTGTTTTTATTCTTATGACATTTTCACATGGTATATGTAAAAAGTAAAAATGTAGATTTTTCTCTCTCCGCTCCTGTACTTTAATCATGCCATGTTCCTATGTACTTGTTTGCATGTATAGATTTGCTCGCAGCGTCACATTAGTGGAAACCAAGCCTGTTCTCAGGGCAGGCCTGGTTGTAGCTAGATATATTTTAGCTAACCCTAACCCTTTTCCTAACCTTAACCTAATTCTCCTAACCTGCTGCGTAAGTTCCACTAACCTGTTACGAAATGTAACTTCTGCTAGTCAAAACCGGCAGACCTGCACTGAGAACAGTCTTGGTTTCCACTAATGCGATACAGCGATTTACTCACTAGATCATGTGACATTATGCAATTAACCTCAAATAGAAGCCTGGTGTGCGTGCTCACCATTCACACTGATGATGGCTTGATGCAGAAACGTTTGTGTTTTCAACTTTTATTCATGCACTTTTCTACACAATTAACTTTTGGGTACCATAATGTCATAATACAACATCTTCATTTTTGCATTTAAGCCTCAGTTTTTGATTATTTCCTCCTTTGCGACAGTGTGCGGCTCTCCATCTCTTCCAGTATTCTCATTGTGATACCTATGCACCTGGAACATACACTATTTGATATAAAATACCTTTAAAGAGCGCAGACAGCCTCCTATCTTTTATATTGGAATATCAACCATATTCATTTAAAAGCTAATGGAATGTTATTCCTATATGCTATTTATCAATCGTACTGGAATATATTTATTGCCACGGTCACCTCGGCTTCTGATAAACACTTTGAGACAAAGGTATTTGTTTTACTAGGTTGCTCTTCGGCGAGGCAGACTCAACCTTTGCAATCATGACTCATTATTTGTGGTGCATTTATGCAGTTTTGTTTTGCAGCCAAATGACTGTATGTGGTGACTCCCAAGACTGAAGACAATCTATCATGAACTTTAACGGAAAAAACAAGCCCTTAGTAAAACACTCAGCCTTTACAGGAGTGTGTGTGTGTGTGTGCACGTCTTATAAGGGATTATATAAGATGACACACCCTTTCAGTGATGTACAGAAAGAGCTAGCAAAAACAACAGGGAACATACACAGGGGCAAGCTCAGGGCATGTGTGTGTGTGTGTGTGTGTGTGTGTGTGTGTGTGTGTGTGTGTGTGTGTGTTGCGTGCGTGCTCACCAGCTTGTCCATCTGCATGAGTTTCTTGTCCTGTTGGTGAAGCTGCTTGGTCTTCATCTCCAGAACCACCTTAAGACTCTCCAGCTCCTGTCCCAGATACAACACATGGGAGTCCTTCTATATGGAGAGAGGGAGAGGAAGAGAGAGAGAGGGGGTGAAGAGGGAGAGAGGGGGTGAAGAGGGAGAGAGAGAGAGAGAAAGAGAGAGAGAGAGAGCAAGAAAGAGAGTGAGGGTGAAGAGAGAGAGGGGGTGAAGAGGGAGAGAAAGAGATAGAGAGAAAGAGAGAGAGAAAGAGAGAGAGAGAGAGAGAGGAAGAGGGGGGGGGGGAGAGAGAGAGAGAATTTCATTCACAAACCATTGTCCTATCCCTGACCTCTTCTATTCCCCCACAAACTGTTGTTCCAGACAAACAACAGTCGTTCAAAAACCCAATTTTAGTTGGACGATTGCAGTACCAGAGTTGTGGGTTTGATTCCCAAATGAAACAAAATATGCATGAGTCACAGTGGATAAATCCCCAAACACTGCCATCTCAGAAACGGACACAATGACCAGTGCTGCATTTCCATTCCCAACCAGCAGGGTACAGTATTACACCAGTATAAAGACCATATGGCCCAATAACAAGAAGAAGAGAAGCAGTAAACATGTCCCTGGGACATCTGTCTCACAGCAGTAGTATTGTAGACTGAGGTACACAGTGTACCAGAATAATAGCATTATTCAGCACCTGTCTGTGTCCCAGAGGGCTCTGGTCAAAATTAGGGCACTACATAGGATGACATCATACTCCATTTACCAGGTTCTTCTCTGCCAGAATCCTCCTCCTCTCCTCCTCCGCTCTCAGCTTCTCGCTCAGCGCCTCGTTCTCCAACGTGAGGTCCTGTATTTTCTCCTGTTGTGAGTGTGAGAGAGAGAGAAAGTGGGTGAGAGCGTCAACAGTGTTAATCCCTGATACTGAGTTTATATAAGACAGACAGAAGATAGTAGTGTTGGTAAGGCTGTGATCAGGGAGGTACAGGGAACATGGATCTTACAGTGAGAGTGGCCTCCGTTTCCTTTAGTGTTTTGTCCAGGTTCTCCAGGTCCTGTTCCAGAGTTTTCCTGAGCTCTGCAAAACAACAACACACACACTGAGTCAATGATGGGGGAAATCTAGTTATTTATTCACAAATTAAACAATTTTGGATTAATAATTTCTTATGTGAAAACCAACCAAGTGTGTGGATGCCTGAGATGGATGGATTGTTGGATGATTAATGGGTGGATGGATGGATGGATGGATGGATTGATGGGTGGATGGATGGATGGATTGATGAGTGGATGGATGGATGGATTGATGGGTTGATGGTTGGATTGATGAGTGGATGGATGTATTGATGGGTGGATGGGTGAATTGATGGGACAGAAGAATGGAGGGATGAATTCCAAATGAAAAGACCAATGAGTTCTGTGATATGAGGGTGTGTGGTTGTGTGTCCTCACCTTGGACTGCGGTGTCGTGGGTCAGTTTGAGCGTGTCCATCTGCTGAGCGTGACTGGCCTCAGAGTTTTTCCTCAGAGTCTCCTGTCTGCTCCTCATCTCCTCCAGCTGACAGAGAGAAGAAGAAGAAAAGAAAAAAAAAGAGAAAAGAAGAAAAGAGAAGAAGAAAAGAAAAGAGAAGAAGAAAAGAGAAGAAGAGGAAAAGAAGAAAAGAGAAGAAGAAAAGAAAAGAGAAGAAGAAGAAAAGAAAAGAGAAGAAGAAAAGGTTTCATCAATTGATTGATTCCTTGGGGTCCTCTCACCAGTCAGTAACACAAGTTGGTTATTTCAGTATGCCATTACATTTATAGGGTGTATCTCAATAGTCTAATATGGTTTCCTCTTTATACTTCCAATTCATACTACTAAGATTCCCCCATTATTATTACACATTTCAAATCAAATCAAAGTTTATTGGTCACATACACAGTTTACCAGATGTTATATCGGGTGCAGAGAAATGCTTGTGTTACTAGCTCTTAACAGGGCAGTTAAAATGAGAAATAGTGCCAGTAACCGAAAGGTCGCTGGTTCTAATCCCCGAGCCGACTAGGTGAAAAATCTGTCGATGTGCCCTTGAGCAAGGCACTTAACCCTAATTGCTCATGTAAGTCGCTCTGGATAAGAGCGTCTGCTAAATGACTAAAATATAAATATAAATATAAATAATAGAATGAGCTATGTGGAGAATCCGGTATTTAAATAATAGAATGAGCTATGTGGAGAATCCGGTATTTAAATAATAGAATGAGCTATGTGGAGAATCCAGTATTTAAATAATAGAATGAGCTATGTGGAGAATCCAGTATTTAAATGATAGAATGAGCTATGTGGAGAATCCAGTATTTAAATACACAGTGTGAAAGCAGAATAAAAGAAATGGGAAGTGTCCAGTATTTAATGTCTCTATATACATGGGGCAGCAGCATTGGCTATGTGTGTGTGTGTATGTGCAGGAGTCTGTGTGTGTATGAGGTGTGTGTTTTGTGTGTGGGAGTGTGTGCAAAAAGTATCTGATTTGGAACATGCTCATATCGATGATTTATCGCTGATTGAATTAGCATTTTAGCTCTACAGTTAGATGTAGGCCATAGATGACTTAGGAAATATTCCTACGTGCCAATTCATATTCATCCATGCCGCCCCGTTGTACCGCTGATGACATCAGGGTGTAATAACCATGGCAACGGTCGTAAATCCCGGGCAGTGTTTACGAGTTGGGCTCTGTGTGTGGTGTGTGTAAGAGCCAACGGAGTGTTTCAGAAGTGTACTAATGCCGCGTTTACGTGCTAGTAGGAACTAGGAAACTCTGAAATGTCCAACTTTCTAATAGGTTGTAGTTAAACACGTGCCGCGTTCAACCAGTTAGCAAGTTGGACATTTCAGAGTTCCGACTATCACGTGAACACGGCATAAATCACAGGACGCGAGTCATAGCGATGACATCACACCAACCCTATCCCCTCAGCCCCCAGCAGCCTTAGAGGCGGCGTATCGATCGCTAATAGCTAAAAACTCAATACTGTGTTTATAGTGCACTGACATTGATCAACGTTGGCTCTATGCCTTTGTTCATGTTCTGCTCTGACCGCCTGTGTTCCAGTCCCAGCTGGTTACACAAGTGTGACTTACTGGGTTCAAAACCCGGACTTCTCCGCACTGTAAGACCTGTGTTAGCCCTCTGAGCTAAAGCCTAGGCATTAACTCAGAGAGCCAACGCGAGTCTTTACGTCTTAAGGCAAGGTTACTCATCATCATCATCATCACCATCATCATCATCATCATCAGCTATCTCAAGGCCATCAGACTGTTAAATAGACATCACTAGCCGGCTACCAGCCGGCCGCGACCGGGAGACTCATGGGCGGCGCACAATTGGCCCAGCGTCGTCCAGGGTAGGGGAGGGAATGGCCGGCAGGGATGTAGCTCAGTTGATAGAGCATGGTGTTTGCAACGCCAGGGTTGTGGGTTTGATTCCCACAGGGGGCCAGTATAAAAAAAAAAAAAAAAAAAAAAAAAAAAATATATATATATATATATGTAAGTCGCTCTGGATAAGAGCGTCTGCTAAATGACTAAAATGTAAATGTAAATGTACCACCCGGTTCCACAACCCTGCACATTAGAAGCTGCTGCCCTATATACATAGACATGGAATCACTGGCCACTTTAATAATGGAACACTAGTCACTTTAATAATGTTTACATACTGCTTTACTCATCTCATATGTATATACTGTATTCTATTCTACTATATTTAGTCAATGCCACTCCAACATTGCTCGTCTTAATATTTATATATTTCTTAATTCCATTTGTTTACTTTTAGATTTGTGTGTATTGTTGTGAATTGTTAGATACTACTACACTGTTGGAGCTAGGAACACAAGCATTTCCCTACACCCGCAGTAACATCTGCTAAATATGTGTACAGTGCCTTGCAAAAGTATTCATCCCCTTTGGAGTTTTTTCCTATTTTGTTGCATTACAACCTGTAATTTAAATTGATTTTTATTTGGATTTCATGTAATGGACATACACAAAATAGTCCAAATTGGTGAAGTGAAATGAAAAAAATAACTTGTTTCAAATAATTCAAAAAAATTAATAACGGAAAAGTGGTGCGTGCATATGTATTCACCCCCTTTGCAATGAAGCCCCTAAATAAGATCTGGTGCAACCAATTACCTTCAGAAGTCACATAATTAGTTAAATAAAGTCCAACTGTGTGCAATCTAAGTGTCACATGATCTCAGTATATATACACCTGTTCTGAAAGGCCCCAGAGTCTGCAACCCCACTAAGCAAGGGGCACCACCAAGCAAGCGGCACCATGAAGACCAATGAGTTCTCCAAACAAGTCAGGGACAAAGCTGTGGATAAGTACAGATCAGGGTTGGGTTATAAAAAAATATCCGAAACTTTGTACATCCCACGGAGCACCATTAAATCCATTATATAAAAATGGAAAGAATATGGCACCACAAAAAATTGTTATGCACGCTCAAGTTTTCTGTTTTTTTGTCTTATTTCTTGTTTGTTTCACAATAAAAAATATTTTGTTTCTTCAAAGTGGTAGGCATGTTGTGTAAATCAAATGATACAAACCCCCCCCCAAAAATAATTTTTATTCCAGGTTGTAAGGCAACAAAATAGGAAAAATGCCAAGGGGGGTGAATACTTTCGCAAGCCACTGTATGTGACCAATAACATTTGATTTGATCAGGGAGCAAGACTTGCGTTGGCTCCCCCCAAGGTAAAACCAGCAGACTTCAGCTCGGCGGGCTAACACACTTGTTCAGTAACACAAGCCCAGTCCCCACCTCACCACTGACCTGTTGCTCCATGAGGGCTCGACATTTATCCGCCTCCTCCTGGTAGGCCTGGTGCACCTTGTCCCACTCCGCCTGGTAGAAGGCCTTGAGCCTCTCCTCCAGCCCGGTCAGCTCAGCCTGGTGATCCCTCTGGAGCCTCCGCACCGCCTCCTCCAGAGACACCTGCACCTCCTCCTTCTCCTTATGCAGCCGCTCACAGCACTGGGACGAGGAGACTGGAGAGGGAGGGAGGGAGGGAGGGAGGGAGGGATGGGGAAGAGGGGGAGGAAAGGGAGAGATGGAGAAAGAGAGAGACTGTCATCATCACTTTGTATTTTAGAATTCACTTTCAAAACACAATTACCCAGAATGAGGCTCTATGATAAATAATGACTTCACTGTAATAAGAGGGGAAAGTGTTGGAATAACATCTCCTAACGGCCGATTGGTGTTTTTGGAACAGCGTTACAAAAACACCAATTAGATGTGAACATCTGACAAAGCACTGGGAAAATGCAGGACTATTCCAACATTGTGCAATCCAACCCTAAGCTCTATCTTGATCAGAATCATATGCATCCTTTCACACAACACTTTACGACAACTCTCCCCATGTTCGGGTCTCCATTGAACATCATTTTCTTACCCAACCAGGAGTAGGCTTAATTTGGGTCTAGTAGGCTATAACCTACTTAATCGACATCTAATGATAGGACTATGTTTTATTACATATGTAATGATAGACCATATATGTAATGATAATACCAGATTCCTATAGCACGGCACGGCGCAGCGCAGCCTGGACAGTTGATATTTCCTCATTACTCAGTGGGATTAACTCTGAGGCCTGTTGCCACGGCAATGATGTCATAAAGGCCGGCAGCTGTGAGCCCGTTAACAGACAGGTCCTGTCTTTATTATGGGGTAACTAACAGAAAGGGTGTGTGTGTGTGTGTGTGGATTGGGGGCAGGTGTGACTGGCATGTGGCCCCGTATTATGACATCAGCACTGCTGCCCCCCCCCCCCCCACAAGTTGTTTCATAACATGACATCATGGTTCAAGAAGGAACAACGAAGGGGGCTGGAAAGAACGTGTATATAAGGGCAGATCTAGGATCAGGATTTACTCAAGCCTGTTACTGTAGCCATTATCAGCTCAAGATACACATTTATCCAGGATCAGATTTAAAGGGATAGTTCGGGATTTTGGCAATGAAGCCCCTTTATCTACTTCCCCAGATTCACATGAACCATACCATTTTTATGTCTCTGTGTCCAGTATGTTAGAGGTCATTTCGCGAGCCAGTGCTAACCAGCAGAGACATACAAAATGGTATCCATGAGTTCATCAGACTCTGGGGAAATAGATAAAGGGCTTCATTACCAAACCTGAACTATCCCTTTAACTCAATCAGCAATCTTACCTGTGACTATTATCCACTCAATATAAAGATCCTACAACTGTTAACAGTAAAACTGTTGGGAAAGACAAATCAAATCCCTGGAAGTCAGACTGACAATGTCCTTTCACTAGCTTGAAGAGAAACATATTGACACAGGTTCTGCTGGTCAAACATACAGTAGACATAGCAAAGAGACTTGTTAGCGCTTCTCAAAGTCTGCCGTTAACAGAGAGAGTTTTGAAGGAGGTGGTGAGAGTGAGATCCATACATTCCACAGCCATGTGTAAAAACAGGGGTCAAGGTTCAACAAGCACACCAAAGCCCCCACTCATCAAACAGATGGTAGTTGATGTATTTTCTGCTGAGGTTTGGTGGGAAAAAAAGTCAATTTAAGCATGTGTGTGCTTTTAGGGGGAAGGGGGAGGGGCTTGGTATGGCAGTTAAAGGGTGTGTCCAGGCTTGCATGAGTGTGTATGTTGAGACTGAACTGTGTAGTTTTCAATAGAACTGTGTAGTAAAAGTATGTTTGTATAAGATATAATATAATATCTTTGTGTGAGAGAGAAGTGTGAGGGAATTGTACAGAATTATAGTCGGGGTGTGTGTGTGTGTGTGTTTAAAAGAGAAGGGGGCTTTCTAGCTCTCTATATCCCTGACAGCAGACGGCCATTGGTATTTCTCATCACAACCACATTGTACAGCCGTTCCAACCAGATGCCTCTAAGGCATCTTGCACAGGTGGCGAGGGTTGACGAGTTTTTGGCAGGACGTCTGGGCCTGTCATGGGGCACGTGGGTAAAATGAAACGGCACACGTTTCCTCTCCATTTCGTAACACATTACAACGTCTGGGGTCTGGGCCAAGTCTAAGGAACAGAACTGAACAAGCCCACTCCTCTGGAACGGAACTCTGACTCTGACATCATTGGTGGAACAGAACAGAATGGAATGCCTTGGAATGTATGAAACACATTCAGAACAATGAGTGTTTGAACATGTTCACAAACACCTTCCCGCCTTCCTTGAAATGATCACCACTAACAAAAATTGATAGGTGTAAGAGAGGATTCTATCACATATAATTCACCTATCCAGTCGTGTCAGATCAGGGATTATCTTGAAGGAAGGGAGGAAGGAAGGATGCATGTTTTTAAAACTGGAAGTATTTGAACATTCTAAACATCGAAATTCTGGGGAAAGTTGGATCGAAATGTCAGATTGTTAAAATGTCCGATTGTGCTACAACAGGGTTACCCAACTGGCGGCCCGCGGTCCGAATTTGGCCCGCAGATGATTTTATTTGGCCCCCCATGTAAAAAAATTGTAAAGACTAAAAACACCAGCAAATCAGCTCCAAGTGATTTTAATTCTGTTCATAAGTATTTCCACGCATAATAGATATATGTGATCGTATACAAATGTAAGCAAGGTTTGAAATGTTTGTGTTTTAGTCAAATATTATATATTTATGGGCTTCTTGCGGTCAATTTGCAGTCTACAACGTTTTTGTAATTGTGTTCTGGCCCACTGACCATCCACTCCAGAAAATAATTTGCCCGCGGCGTAATCTACTTACTGATCCCTGCTCTACAACAACCAGATGTTACCAACCATGTTTCTCTAGAATTAGAGTCTGAACGCTTCCTCCTAAAGAGAACAACCCCCTTCCTTGACAAGCAGTTCCACAGCACTCAAACCCATTATGTTAAAACTATTGTCCTATTCTGGCAGTGATGTAGCATGTCTCCACGAGGATAAACAAAGATGATGCTGCAGAGAGACTACCACTAACTACTGTTGGTGAATGCTTCAGGGAAGACGCCGAGTCATGCTTGAAGGAAGACCGTGGACAAAGGAGACTGTCTGCCTGTATCTGTAATTATTAAGGCTTTATGACTGCTGCACAGGCTACCAATAACATCAGTTCAATGCATGTCCCTGACACACACACACACAAACAGGTGTACACACAGGCACACACATTACTGTAAAACATGCCAAGGCTTGCATTCACGCTTCCTTAATACAGCCTAGGGGATGACGGCTCATAATAATGGCTACATGGAGGCTGAAAGTTGGCCAGCACAAAGTGTTTTGGATGGCAGTTGACGACCTGATAAGGCGTTAATGATAAGCCAACAGGTCAGGGGAATGAGCGTGAAACAGAGGGAAGGTTCATTCCCATTCAAATTGAGTGTAAATAAACCTTATTGTCTTCAGTCATAATGAGACCCAATTGGCAGCAGTTTGATTAATTGTTTTCCTTGATAATTTCCTTCTTTATGTTTAGATTTTCTGCTTTGCCAACACTTGCTATTCCTTGAGCAACTGACGTGTTGATAAAAGTGAATATGTAAGAGGTAGAGGGGTAGACGGAGCACCGGGTTACGTGAAGACATGCTTGAAGTGTTTTTTCTTACTGAGTTCATCGCGCAGGTTAGAAAGCTCCAAGGACAGTCCTTTCTTCAGCTTCAATGCCTCTTCACGCTGTCGTAGAGAGAGAGAGAGAGAGAGAGAGAGAGAGAGAGAGAGAGAGAGAGAGCGAGGCGAGAGAGAAGAGCCGGGAGAGAGGAGGAGAGAGGGAGAGAGAGAGAGAGAGGAGAGAGGAGAGAGAGAGAGAGAGAGAGAGAGAGAGAAATATGATTAGTAATTAAGTCAATGGAAAAACTATTCCTAAACTATGTGAGACTTTAGTTTCGAGTCGAACCAGACAATCGTTTTACGTCAGACATTATGACTCAACGGACAGCTTTCCACAACATCATTCCTTAGACTTCAAACAATTAAAGGCTTCAGTATGGTGACCTAATAACAGTACAACATATTCCTATAGGCGTGTCGCTTAATGCTCTAACTTCTAATAACAACCTACAGTAACCTACATTAGCCAGCTGGGTAGGCTACAGAGACTGTGAAACAATACAGTAATGAGAGCAGCATTTTCATAGCCTGGTCCCAGATCTGTTTGTGCCATCTTGCCAACTTCTATGGTCCATAGGAGTTGGCGAGACTGCACAAACGGATGTGGGAACCAGGCTAGCGTTTTCAGCAGCTGTCTCGACATCAGCCACTGTTTTCTTTATGACACTGTATCACTCTGTTATCAAACTGGGAGAGACGACTTTTAGGGTGACTTAGAAGTGACTTAGAAGTGACATAGGGTATCTTAGAAACTGGGAACACGTGACAACTCTCACATTTGTGTGGTTTCATCTCACATAGGCATATGCATAAATAAATAGATCGACTAAAACTAAGATACACATGCTTCCTCTCAGACGTAGCTTACATTCTGTCACATACACAAATTCTCTCATAAACTCGTGAATTCTTACACACACTCACACTCCCATACATATCAACACTGTCTCAATGTCCCAAAATGATCGCAGGCTAGACCCTGTACTAATCCAAACCAGGGCTACACACACATGCACACACAGAGAGACGATTCTCAAAATGGTCAAACATAGACGGTGCAGTAATCATGTCCAAAGTACATTACCACACTCTTTAAAACAAAGACACAATGATCACTTCATAACCATCTCTATTTTGCACATGCCATGCACACACACATACTTTATAGTCATAAATCCAATCTGTCAGCTGTAAGTGAACCAGCAGACAGAGAAAGGAGGAAAGAGAGAGGGAAAAGAAAGAGAGAGAGAGGAGAGATAGAGAGAGGAGAAAGAGAGAGAGAGAGAGAGAGAAAGAAAGAAAGAGAGAGAGACGAAAGGGTAGAGATAGAGCGAGAGAGAACTGGGTGAGAGATAGAGAGAGAGATAAGATCGCCCTCCTCACCTCAAGCCCCTCCCTCCATCCCTCCTCCCTCCCCCCTCCCTCACCCCTCCCCTCCCTCCCTCCCTCCCTCCCCTCCGCCCTCCTCTCCCTCCCTCCCTCCCTCCCTCCTCCCCCCCTATCTCTCTCTTCGCTCGCCCTCCCTCTCTCTCTCCCCCCTCTCCCTCTCGCTATCCCTCTCTTCTCTCTCTCTCTCTCTCCCCTCTCGCTCTCGCTCCCCCCTCTCTCCCTGCCGCGCTCTCTCCGCCTCTGCCGAAAAAGAACTAAGAGCGAGAGATGAAAACACACCTTGCCTTTCTTTCTGGTAAGTGGAGGAGTCTTTAGGCAGGCTTTGCTGCCAGAGGAGCCCATGTTATTCCTCCTGGGTTGCCAAAGGGCTGAATGCTAAAGCTATGAGCACCGCTACAATGTGCCCTGTCGGAACCTCCTCCTCCTCTCCTCTCCTCCCCCTCTCCAACTCCAACCAACCACCTCCACCTCCAGCACTCGCTCTCTCGCTCGCTCAGGGAACTGGTCTGTCTACATCAAAGAAGCTTTTCTCTCTCTCTCTCTCTCTCCCTCTCTCTCTCTCTCCAAGAAGTACTCAGCACATCAGGCCCTGCCTAGTAGTACCTCCCCACCTCCAACCCAGCCGCCTCTGGCCCAGCTCCAGCACACGGTCTGGGGGAGGTGGAGGGAGAGGGCTAGATGAGAGTGAGATCAGGCTGGGCTAAGGCCCTCTACTCTGGGCCTCGGGGTCTGCATGGTCAAGCCTCTCTGGTTCTCTGGTTACTAGACAGTGGTTGTACAGTGTCTGTGGGGCTAATCCATTAATAAACATTAGCAGCACTAGCAACACTCACTAGGTTCTACTTTTCAAAAGACCACATATGACCTATATGGAATCAAAGCTCCCGAGTGGCGCAGTGGTCTAAGGCACTGCATCTCAGTGCTTGAGGCGTCACTACAGACCCCCTGGTTCGATTCCAGGCTGTATCACAACCGGCCGTGATTGGGAGTCCCATAGGGCGGCGCACAATTGGCCCAGTGTCGTCCGGGTTTGGCCAGTGTAGGCCTTCATTGTAAATAAGAATTTGTTCGTAACTGACTTGCCTAGTTAAATAAAGGTAAAAAAAAAAAACTTTTTTAAAAGCGGCCATTGCCTATTAGCTAGACTGTTACAGTGGAGATGCTCAAACTGGAGTCGTATAGCTGAGTCCAAAGGCCTAATAAACTGCTTTTTTACGCCATCAGCGTGGCAATTGCTGTTTGACTCGTGTCCCTCATGTCAAAGCTGGCTAATCCATTCCATTTCTGGCTTGGTTTGTGCTGTAGAATCTTCTACGTGGCGCTTTCAAGTGCTCTCGGCAGCCAAGATAGCACTGGCATTCTCCCTTTAGATAAGACTCCCACAAATAGAGTCTGGCACTGTAGAGTCAATAGAAGGCTTATAATGCTATCAGTGAAGAGATATTCCACTGCCAAGACTCTCTAAATAACCTCCTAGCTAGCCAGACGCTATCCAGGAAATGTTCCCTACAACGAAAATATACTTGGATGGAGTGATGAGAAAGGAGGGCTATTCTCCACTAGTTTACAGCCTGAGCAGGAGAAAGAAGAGAATTCATCCACACTATTATACTACAAGTCAACACTGTATGTATACACCAGGAGATATCCATGTAGTCTAATCTAAAGTAACTGATGGCACCATATCATGGGTGTATTCATTAGGCACCAAACGGGAGAAAACTGTCTGAAACAGGTAGGGACTAGCTGAACTGACCAATAACAACGCTTTCGTTTTTTTGCTAAACGTTTCATTACTTTGTGCCATTATGAATGCACCTGGGTTTATCTAGAGGGGCATTTTAAATATAATTTTATGAAAGTATGATAATTACATTTACATTTTATATTTTAGTCATTCATTAGTATTACTACTTTGTTAGTGAGTTTTAAGTTTGCTCTCGTGATTAGTTGGCTTGACCTGCGATTCCTCTACTACACTCAGAGAGCTCATTGCTGTTCCTCAGATAGGAACCTCTCTATCAGGAGGATTACGGTAGGGCCCGAGGCTAGGGGGCGGGGTTATTGACACCCCTAGATGTACAGCTCACAGGTGATGTGGTGGAACCCAACAGCCCCACCCCTTCACCCTTCTCCCTGCCTTCTCTCCCTGCCTGCAGGCTTGAAACTGCAGCTGGTGCATTACTCCCCCTCTCCCCCCTCTCCCCCTCCTCCCTTTCTCTCCCTCCCCCGTCTCCCCTTCTATCCATCTCTCTAATCAATAGAAAGCCAGCAAAGCATTCCAGAGCTGTCTATCTGTCTTCTCCACAGAGGGGTGTTCGGTTAGAAAGTGGAAACGGAAAACAACCAGGCCGAAGCAGGAATCCCTTGACTTGATACACGGCTTGACGCAACAAATGATTTCCTCAAGTTGATAAAGCAACCAAAGTTGTCTGATTCAGAACAGCATATTGGAGATTCCATCAACCGCAGTGTTGCGCTGTCCCTTTTCTACCATCTAACTGATCGCTCAGTTGACAGTCTGTTACACAACAGCAGCTGTTGAGGAGTGAATGTTGTGGAAGGTGAAACCACATGGTTGTTCTTATGTCTAGGAGATGAAAACAGGTTTACAGGAGATAGACTACTTTCTCTCCCATCACTATCACACCCCTCAGACAGAGAGATAGACCGTGTTCTTCTGCGTTTTGAATCTTTTTTTATGTGAAGCTCAGAGTGTGTGTGTGTGTATAACGTCTCTGGCCAGGTAGGGTCAGCAGATGGTAGGCGTGGTCAACATCACAAGACTGGATGTAGACATTGGAACAGCCATAAACAACCCTAACCACCCCTCCCTCCTTCCCGCTCTATTCCCTCCCTCCGTCTCCATTTATCCATCTTTCCCTCCCTTATTCCCTCCCTAACCCCTCCTTTAAACACAAAACCATGCTGTTACTGTTCTTCATTGATACCAGATGTGGGGTAACATAGCAGATACACTTACAACATGACAGCAAGTCCCATTTGGGAGGAGAAACTAAGGAATAAATCAGCTTTAGGACATGGTAGAGAGAATGAGAGAGAGAGAGGGAGAGAGAGAGAGAGAGAATGAAAGAGAGAGAGAGAATGAAAGAGAGAGAGATAGGGAGAGAGAATGAATGGAAGAGAGAGAGAGAGAAAGCCATACAAATGAAGAATTTTAAAAGTTCACTTTGCCCTCATAAAACTGTTAAAACAAGGTGAGCCAGTATACTTTATAAACGCCCAGAGATTCAGGCCTACAAACGAATCACCTTGAGCAGATTATCACTGCTATTCCAAACATGTTCCTGCCCTACCACTCAAACAGAATAATTCAAAGTATGACACAAATATTGATGTGGAAATTCCTGTCATAAAAGGATTTACAGAGTAGTGAAACCTCATTCTATCTATTCCTCTTAATCCTAAATACACAAAGCCTATAATTAAAAATCTCCTACAGTGTTTAATACGTGCTGTCAAGAAATGTCACTCGATCCCAATGAGCGTTTTCAAATGTTCATCCTGAAGACAGAGGAGGGGTACAGATCTCTGCAAATATTTACACAGTAGCCTATCCAAGTCCGGGATTCTGTGAGTGACAGGTGGATTATCCACACAAGCCACGCCCAATCGCTTGGCTGGACCAATCGCTGGCTTAAAACACTGATAGAACACACCCTCAAAGACAAGAACCAGGAACTCAGTTTGGTTCAACAGGATCTTGGTCTCACAAAGCCACGTATAGGATATGGATGGGATTTTGTAGGATATTGATAGGGGAGAGCAGTGTTAGCAGTGTTATGGTTGAGAGGCTGCCTTTGACTGGCGGCAGATGAAAGCCCAAAAATGTGGAACACACACAACTAAACTAATAAGGGCTCTGATGGACCTAACTAAACAACCCTCAGCTCTCTATTTCCAACAGGGTTGTTTTATCAGTGGACAACATACACCAGAAGACAGCAGAGACAACAGATACTTCTGTCATGCAGCCAACCACATTCAGCCAACCACATTCAGACAACCACAGCACACCGTTCACACCCACTCATCAACAGTCATACATAGTTATGGATGGAAAAGGCGCTGTGTATTGGTTGACAGCCATGAACGCTAAATGGTGAGATTCCGATCCTTCCTGCCACCTGTAATGTCTGCCTCCTCCTCAGGCATGTAAAAAAGCTCTGCAAGTCAACCAACCAACACCCACTATATCTATATTTCTACATGAATAACATCCATGGTTCTACTCAAAGAAAGAAAGAAAGAAAGAAAGAAAGAAAGAAAGAAAAGAAAAGAAAGAAAGAAGAAAGAAAAGAAAGAAAGAAAGAAAGAAAGAAAGAAAGAAAGAAAGAAAGAAAGAAAGAAAGAAAGAAAGAAAGAAAGAAAGAAAGAAAGAAAGAAAGAAAGAAAGAAAGAAAGAAAGAAAGAAAGAAAGAAAGAAAGAAAGAAAGAAAGAAAGAAAGAAAGAAAGAAAGAAGAAAGAAAGAAAGAAAGAAAAGAAAGAAGAAAGCAAAAGAAAGAAAGAAAGAAAGAATAGAAACGAAAAAAGAAAGAAAGAAAGAAACAAGAGACTAAAGATCAAAGAAAGCGTAACATGGAAGGAGTAGAAAGATAACTATGAGCTAGAGAGATAAGGGAAGGAGTGAAAATGAAGGAGAGCAAATCAAATCACATTTTATTTGACACATGCGCCCACTATATCTATATTGCTACATGAATAACATCCATGGTACTGTTCAAACACACACAGAGGATATGGTTCTTTGACCTCTATAACAACAAAGACAGTTACTAAAAACAGACCGAGGACATTCCTCTTACCTCACCAAGCACCTAACTACAACAAACAAAACTAATCAAATCAATCAAATGCTATTTGTCACATGCGCCGAATACAACAGGTGTAGACCTTACAGTGAAATGCTTACTTAGAAGCCCTTAACCAACAATGCAGTTTTAAGAAAATAGAGTTAAGAACATATTTACAAAATCAACTAAAGTAAAAAATAACACAATAAAATAACAATAATGAGGCTATATACAGGGGGTACCGGTACCGAGTCAATGTGCGGGGGTACAGGTTAGTCGAGGTAATGTGTACATGTAGGTAGGGGTAAAGTGACAGAACAGCACACCAAGGTGCATTAAACCCCAGCCATATTCCAGTGTTACCTCGGTGAACAGGTGCTGCACCACGGTAGCCAGGGCCTCTATCCGCCGGTTGCCCTGCTCCAGGAGCCTCCGGAGCTGCTGAATGCACCGGTTTTTCTTCTCACCCTGGTCTTGGTACTGGGCCACGGTGGCCGGCTTAGCCTCCACTGGAGCCCTGGCTGGGCGGGATGCCGAGACCACTGGTACCTGGACTAGGAGAGGGACGGCAGGGACTGGGACCAGGTCTGGTTGGGGCGGCTGGGGTTGGTTGGGGCCTCCTGCCTGAGTAGTGGTGCTGGTCTGGGAGGGGGTCCTCCCCACTGCTGCCCCCCGCGCCTTGTTCTTGTCCACTGAAAGAGAGCAAGGTCGGTTGAGTGTGCTGGCCACGACGTTTAGCATGGTCTCTTGCATTCGACTCTCCACAACCCCCTCACACACATAAAACATATAAACACAACACAAACACACTAGCATGCAGGAGGATACGCCTAA